GTACAGTGAGTTTACTGATGAAGTGAAAACTTTCATGTCGGTGTTACCTTTAAGTATGTAGTCAGTAAGCAGTGTTGGAACCTTCTCACTGTCCTCTTTCATAGCAAAAAGAACTAGAAGGGAAAAAACAAAACAGCTCTGAATATATATATCCATCTGATTGATGGTCAATTTGGTTGGTGTTAAAGACAAGCTTGTGTTGTGGAACAGAAACATACTTTTCGTGATCATTTGCAGGTCATCCACAGACGGAGGGGAGCCACTCTTCTCAAATGGAATTACTGTGTTCAGATACTAAAGTGAAAGGTTTGATCAGGACAACCACAAGTCAAGGTAATGCCTGCTGAATTACGTGATACAACTTGCATATGTAATGACACAGAAAAGTGTGTAAAACCATGCAAAATCATTGCCAGCAGGGGGCGTTGAGACTGTTAGTTGTGACATTTAATCCCTACTTGTTTGTCGTTGCCTGTGCTTCCAAATGTTTGTCTGATTCCAGTCTGCAGGATGTTGGACAGCCCCTCCATGCTGAAACGCTGCAGTGCCACACAAAGACAAAGACAAATAAAGTCACTGTTGAAAGTTAATGTTGCTTTCAAGGTCTATTTAAGCCTGTTAATTACACAGATCTACTCTAAATATGATTTCTTTTATTGTTTTTCTAGTAGATCTGCGTCATTTCCTCCTCTGTACTTTTCAGCATTATTAGCCTACCTGAGACCACAACGCAGCTACATGTAGCTGGAATTGACCAACACAGCTTCTGTGATTCCTGATCCATTAGTCTCTGGGTCACCTGCACTTTCACATCTTTTACTGGAAGATGCTTCAGAGGCTAATGGACCAAACATCCATTACACTAACAGAGGGAGGAAGAGGAGAGCTCTACACCAGTGTGCCGTCGCTCACTTACAGTGGACCAAACATTGACGTCCATGTTTCACAGCAACAATAATGGATTGTTGACATCATCATGTTTTGGTGCAGTGACAAAAAGCAATGTGTGACTTATTTGTAACTACAGGCCATAACACACACACACACATGCATATTCATGTGTAGTGTTTCAGGAAGACAAGGCCATTGCCTCCCCCCTCCCTCTCACCTTGACTGGCATCCCCCCTGTCTTCTCAGTGCGTCCCGTGTTCCCTCCGTTGGTGGGCAGCGTCCCTGCTCCCTGTAGACTCAGGGCCTTGTCCCGACGCCGACGTTTGCTGCTTTCCCTCTGCTCCTTCTGCCTGTTTTGCACCTCCATCAAAGCCGTGATGAACGTGTTCTTCACCTCCTTCTCAAACTCCAGCTCATCGCGGCGAGCCAGCTGACTGACCAGCTCCTCTGAGTACTCGCAGATGGTGGCTTCAACTCGGTGGAGCAGCTCAACTAGTGCCGAGTTGGACATCAGGCTCAGGCCTGTAGAGCACACAAATGATGAGACAGGGGGCGCTGGAGTCATGAAGATACTCAGACACTCAGATTTGGATCAGCAAGTTCATTAGGGAAACAGAGTTATAGATTTGGTAAACAAAAAAAAAAAAGAAAAAAAAAGTGAATTCAATTAAAACAAATTGCATTAGTTGCACCTTCATAGGAGCAGTTGTTGTTGGAGGCCTGTGACAGCTGCCTGATCTCCTCCAGCAGTGAGGGGCTGGTTCTGGAGGAGCAGTGGCTGCTCTCCTCCTCGTCCTCCTCCTCAGTTTCCCCAGGATCTGGAGAGTTCTCCATCATCTCCACTATCTCCTCAATGACCTTAAGGAAGTGAAAGCAGGAGAGAGAGAGATGAAGCTGAGGGATCAGGAGATCTGCATTGATTTATTATTCTGCATTTATCAGGAGAGCAAAGCTTTTAAGAACTTAAAGTGGAAGTGTGCCAAGTCCACAAATTAAATCTCCACAGTCTGCAGAGGGTTGACTGAATGTTATGATGGCCGACCATTAAACAACCAGTCTTCTAGAGATTTCCCTTCTGTACGCTCCCTGACCTGGAGGCACCTCTGCTGCCAATCCACACACCTGACCACCAGCCCTGTTCCTCTTCGTGCTGACCCTCCTTTCTGTTCAGAACATCTACCGTTTGCTGTTGATATTGCCATTGCTTTTTAGTTAGACCCAAAAAAATATTTAATTTGGCATCAGCTTGAACTGTGTTCAAATAAAAACTAATAATATCATTAATTTGCAGCTAGGATTTGCTCCCAGCCCTCCTTACAAAACAACATAAATACATTTGAAAAGTATTTGGTGAGTAACTGTTCAGGCAGCTGGGATTAGTTCAATTTCCCATAATGAATGTAGAGGGGGTAAATAAAGTAATGAATGAATAAAGATGGATGAGAAATGAATCCATTTGTTTTCACCTGACGAGGATGAAGCTCTTCAGCTCCCGAGGGCCAAGTAAACATAAACGCAGCACAGCGGCTGTGCACATGTTTACGCCCTGACTCACTGCTGTTAGTTTATTTATCATTGACTTGTTTGAGCTGCAACAAGTAATAAACCATCTGGAGTGTGTATCCCCCCACCCCCCATTTAAGACTCTCTGCCCTGTCAGATTCACGGTGGAACGGCAGATTTACCTGCTGTCCCCTGTGCTCTTGTATAAACCTGTCTGTAGATCAGTGGTGTACAGGACACACACACACACACACACACCTGGTCTGCTGTGATAAGAGGCTCTTCGTTCAGACAACTGACGTTCTCATTCTTCTCATTCATCTCCTCCTCCTCTTTTTCGTGAATCTGGAGAATGTGAAAAGAAATGCATTTGTTAAACAACTGGTCGTACGCAGTAGGACTTCAGTGTGTAGTACTGTGTTGACTGTGTACCACACTAAATCCAATAAGTGCAAGGTCAGGTCTTTGTAGGTCCTAACATTGACACAGAGGGTGCTCTATACGTCCTGTGGGTGTCAGCAACATTTTCTACATCGTGGACTGCTGTAGCTGTGGTCTCACAGTAACCACCAACCACAGCCGCAACACTCATGTGACACAACGTCAATGTGTGTCCAAAGACCTGGGCTGGGTGTTGTCTCTAAACCTGTTCTAGTGATGATTTCTGTCAGAAGAACTTCACGACGACACGAGTTTCATCAACACAAAGTTCCTGCAGTTTCACATACAATTACAATGACCTTCAATTATTAGCTGTAAATCACAGGGTCATAGGTCATTGCATTATTTATTATTCAGTATTCTTGATTATAAGTTAGTTTGTTTATGAAGATGGAGAGTGTTGATTCTGATCGGCCTCTTGACATTTCTACACTTTTCACTTTAAAAAATAAAACGCTCTTTTGTTTAGAGTTAAAAATAACTGAAGGTGACAACTGTGGACTGCTGTGGTGCAGTGTAATTACAGCTGGCCTCCTCTCACTGCATCGGAGACAAAATGTCTGCTCAGAGCAAACATGGTGTGGACTGTTAAGCGCCTGGTGTCCAGTTGTATGTGACAGCCAATTATTGGAGAGGAGAGAGAGGGCAGTCGACGGCTCTTCAGCAGAGCCATCACTTCTAGTCAGGCATGTCTTCAAGTGTCGGCATACAGTAAGTTGAAGCTGTGAGTTCTTTGTTGCTGAATCCATGGTGTGAAAAATTAACACCCAGTGTATTGATGACAGGACATTAGTGCCGTAAAACATCTAACAACAAGATTATGTTCAAATAAAACTGATTAGAATCTGGACAATTCAATTAAAGGCTTAATTGTGAACTGTCTAACTCTGATTAAATATAAAGATGGAGCGTACCTCCTGGTCAGAAAGGTTTCCGTTGAGTCCCTCAGGATCAGGGTTGTCCCAGGCAGAGATGTAGTTGTCAGTTAGAGCATCCCAAACACTGTAACAGAGAGGAAGAGCATGAATACACACATATCTAAAGATATAAAGTAGCATTACAAAACAAGACAGAAACAAAACTTTAAAGGTTCAATTTCAGCTGGTGTATCCACACATGACATGGTTAGGATGTGATATAAAACAACACGAGAGCAGATTTTTGTTGTGTTTTCTTATTGTTTTGCATATAAAAGCATTTTTTCCCAAGTCTGTCTACAGAGTAGCAGTACTGCAGTCAATATTCCAGTGGAGAGAGTCGATGATGTAGGTTAATGTACAGAGCTGAAGGCTGCAGAGGAACAATGCACAACAGAAATAAGCATAGCTTACTACTTGTTAAAAGGAGTCCTGAGCAGAGATCTAGATAAAGCTCCTCACATCATTTCTCCTGGTGGCAGCAACAGCAGCAGCAACAGCAGCAGCAGCAGCAGCAAATGTTTGTGTGAGCGACAGTGACACAAAGCCAGAGGAGAAATCTCCTTTGTCTCAGAGCCTTTTGTGTTTTTGTTTTTTTCAGCCCCCGGCCAAAGTTGGCCCAGGCTGGTCGTCCTGCTGCTCACAGTGGCACACAGTGCCCACGCCCGGTCAGACAGAGGACGCCATTGAGCTCAGAGCCTACCTCAACTGCCACGACTGTGTGGCTTGAACACAAGCAACAGCACAAAAGCAGTCAAAGTTCAGTGAGCTTGAACTCCTCCTGACAATTTAGAACAAACAAGTGTAATATGGTAACAGTGTATCAGTCAAGATGCTCAGTTTGCCTATGTATTTATATATATTAATATATATTATATTTATTCATTATATACCGCTTGTTCCCTTTCGAAATTACAGGGGGCGCTGTTACCAACCCCAGCTATCTACAGGCGAGGGCAGAGTAGACCCTGGACAGTTTACTAGTCTATCGTAGGACTGATTACATGGTATGGCAAGTGTCAAGTCTGACAACATCCAATCAGAACAAACCTTTTACTCAAAACAGTCTGACATGATAACTGCAGGATATTGGGATATTCTGTAGCACTGGGCGATACAGAGAGCCTGGAAGGAGCTTCCTGTTTCACAGAGCTGAACCTTAGACGGACGATAGATGATACTCATTTATTAGAAACTCACTAACCAGTAGTATAATGACAGTATATTACTGTAACACTTCAAGTGTCTAAACAGAAAAATACTTGAATTAAACATAACAAGCCATGGTTACTGTACATGTTGGCATGGTGATTGGCACCTTTGCTTTACACCAATAAGATCGCTGGTTTAAGTCTGTTTCTGTATTGAAACTACGACCTTCCAGGTTTAACCCAACAACACAAAGAAAGGTAGAGGGTTTGAAGATGGATGAATTATTATTGTAATAGCAAAATGAATTAGAATGATAGAGACCAGTAAACATGTGGGCAGAGACTGCAGGGCCTCAAACAACAAACCAATCAGCTGCTGCCAGGCCCGAGCCTCCTCCACACTCAGTCATCCTTCATATTTAATTATCCATGAATGTCTCATGTGGGGACAGCACCCAAAGTCCTGCTCCTATTAGGAGGTACAAACTCTGCAGTGACACCAGACCACAGACCACAGACTCTACACCACCGCTGTGGACACTCCTGGTGAAGAGCAAGAGCTGCAAGAAAAAGAAATGGAATGTGTCCCTCCAGTATTCTCTCCTGGCTGTAGAGCTGACACATCCTCAGTGTTTTTGTTTGTGAAACACCACAGACATCTTCACCCTTTGGTTATAAATAAGCCAAAAATGAGAACAGTGAGGAGGAAGTACTTTTGAACAACACGACATGGTTCTGACATCATTTCAGACGGCACTGGTAAGGCAACAACGACCGGACTGTGTAGCAAACAAATGTGTATTTAAATACATTTAAGGCCACATGAATACAACCAAATCACATTTATATGCATAAATATTTGTCCCTACGTACAGAGCATGTAACGTACATATAATGTGTACAAGTGAATGTAACACTTGGCAGTGGCTGAAGGCCAACACAGATGGATGGTTCAGTAACATGCAGTGACATTAAATCATGCCTCAGTGTTACGTAATCAGCATGACCAGATTGTGTTGCTATTTAGTTGAGATGGTATATTTTTTCTTTTATATATATATATATATAAATATACAGTATTTATATTATATTTCTTAAAAAAACACTAATTATTCTAATCTAATATTTGTAGTTTGTTACAACAGCTAGTTAGCCTTCATTAGCTTTAGGACTGAGCTGGTTATTCCTCCACCAATCTATTATTAACTACTTAATCCTGTTCAGGAGCTGGAGAGCTGCAGACAATCCCAGCAGTCACAGGTCACTGGTTCAACACGGTTCACATTTCAAGAGAACCAAACAAATGTTCACACACACAGACTGACACACACACTCACACACACACAGGAAGAACAGAAAAAATACACACATTTGTTCACATATTAAAGTAAAAAAAAAAAGTTGCAGTTGACTTTACTTAGTAGTACTGCACCTTTAATTGCTCCCAATGTTGATGGAGTGATAGTGATACTGAAGCCAAATTGCCTTGTTTATATTAGGCTAAAGGGCCGTCTGGATATTGACCAGTGTTAACTGTTTAGCAAACCGGAGGCACTTACTGAGAGGAGCAGACTGTAAATTAGCCGGACGCTGAGCTACACAGCAGGTACAGAGGTACAGCATCAGCCCTCTGTGTTGTCTGTATACACAAGAAACTATCTGTTCTGTAGAAATGTAATGTAAATATTGATACATTTCAAATAATCCACATTTACATAACGTAAAATGGTCGACCAATATTTTCTCATGGAACCCTTTTTGGTAATTTTTGAAAATGAATACAAAATAGAATAGCAAACACGCACTAGAGAAGCAGCTGAGAACTCTGTTTCACACTGTCACATCAGAGATGACTGGTGTACAGTGCTGTGTTTCTGTCCATTATTGTAGTGTCACATTTCTGCCACTACCTGTGTCCTCTCTGACATCTACGCCCTGCTCCTTCCATAACACCAGAGATTAGGAGCAGTGAGGGTTTATATACAGGAATGGTTTTTGGCCTCAGCACTTACTCTTCATCCTGCAGCCGCTCCTCGTCCTCCTGGTTGTGTGACTGATTGCGTATGGGTGCCAGGCCTTCTGTCTTGGTGTTGTAATTGTGAAAGCACACGTTGAGCTTCTCATCAAACTCGTTCACCAGATCCTCCATGGACTTGAAGCTCATCATTTCAGAGAAGTTCTCCAGCTCAGAGAAGTCCTCCCTGGTGATGGAGGCCAAAGGGATGGTGGTGGTGGTGGAGGAGGCGGAGGTGGAGTAGGAATACTGATCGAGGGATGAATGATCTAGGTCATCCATCCGACATGGTCGGAGGTCCTCGAACTCCTCATCCAAACACACGAGAGGGGCTTCCATGGCGTCCCCTGACAGGTTGATGACCAAACCCTGCAAGAAGGAAAGTGACAAAGAAGTGTCAACTGCCTGGAAGAAAAAAACCCACGCTTTGTCGTTCACTTGACTACGCAAAGCTGCTAATAGCTGCCCACAAAAATGAAAACCAAGAATGCTCCGGTGTTTTTAATTGGATCCCATCTGCTGGATTCCCAGAAGAATCAATCTGCTGTCTCCTAAATCATCTCAGCATCTCCTTATATGGAGTGGCACCACGTTGTCTAGACATAAAGGACGCAGCGGAGGATGTACCAGAAGGGGGCCACGTCCCAGAGGGACCCTTACCAGTTGTCTTAGTTTGTAAACCGCAGTTAATTAAGAGCTGCTGCTGGGCATTAAGTGATGAGGTGACCATTGTTGTGGGACAGGAAACGACAGGAGGATCTGTCATTGTGTATCACGCTGTTGTGTTGCTCACTTGTTTTTGTAAGGTTTAATTCTACATTTATGTCTAAGAAATGTGAGAAAAAAATATATTTCTGCATAAATATTGATATTTATATTTTTGAAAACTGACTGACACATTTCTTTTGAACCATCTTTGACTTTACCACTAATATTCATTTTTAATAAAATCACATTTTTCATGAGGTCTCTGAGGTAATTTATCTACCCTTAATTAAAACCAGAGCACTATTACAGTATAAAGTACACTACTACACAGTAGTATTTCTAATACTATATTGGTGTAGTGTTTCTACTATATTTGTAGAAGATTTTATTTATTTTTATTCCTGTAGGAGTATGTTTACCATAATATCCACAAATGTTGACTCATTATTACGTAATTTGTTTTAGTATTCAAGGTCTCATTATCCAAGGCTCAAAGATAGAAAATGTTTCTTTGAATAAAGAACTGAATAACACGGATTGAGGGGAGAAATAATAGAAAAAAATATTTTAAAAAATATGTTGCATTATTACAGAGGAGCACAATGGCTTCTCTAACCTTTTACACACCTCAAGCATTTTATTTTTAATAAAAAAACACAACCTGACTGTAGTGATTGTGTTAATAAACCAGTTAATGTTAGTAGAACTTGTTGGGTAGAACTTTAGCCCATCAAATTCACCGTCCACTTCCTCAGTACACACTGACAGTAACTTTGATTGTGAATGTGTTACTCTCGGTGCCTGTTACTGCAACCAGGACTCTTACTACTGTCAGCTATTACAGTAGAAAGCAGTACAGATTTCACTACAGCGTACGGCCATTCAAATAGACTCTCTTATACTGGTCACTGCAGTCAGACTTTAAGACAAACCTGTCTGTATGACGCAGTGTAATTACACTAGTGAGGCCACTGTGTGTGTGTGTGTGTGTTTTGCTGGACTGTGGCCTGGTGTTAGTGCAGACGAGTCCATTTCCAAACCAACCTCTTCCTCCTGAGCACATCACTCAGCAGACTGCTGCTCTGACTGCAGCTGGATATTATTTCCTAGCAGCTCTCATCCACTTTGGGTTTTCTGAATGAGAGTCTGTGTGGAAGGTTAACCCAGTTCACTGTTAGCTTAATCACACAGAACCCATAACAGCAGCACAGGTTGTGACAGGTTATTGTAAGTGGCTATTTTACATGTTGGTCTGGTGAAAAACGCCAACAAGGAAATGAATGAACAAGTCAACGGCATTTTCCCATCATGCCTATATATCAATCTGAACTAATGATTTTAGTTCATTTATCAGTCAGTTTATACATTCTGGCCAAACAGAATTGGATTAAGTAGTTGATTAAACGCCACTATCTAACTTGACTATTTATTTTGTAAACAAATTATGTCTTTAACTAAAACGGTTTCAACAGAATGATGTTCTGATTTCCCAAAATAATCACTAGTTTTGAAGTTAATATCCTGTGTACCATGTACCCAGTACTCTAAGTGAGGAGGCCGGGGAATAACAACTGTGTTCAATGTACTTCCTGCATCAGTGTGCAGGGGAGGGGTTACTGTATGGACTGTATGTAAACAGTGAGTGACCAATGTAACATCCTTTGACGTAAAGGTTCCTGTATTTTTATAATTTAACCAAAAATGTCCTTAATTACACACATAAACTTCTATCATCCCTTCTATCATTGTTTTGTATGTTTTTACAGGAAAAAAGAACAATATATAATGATATAAATGATAAGATAATCAAAAAGATAAACCAGTATCACAGAGCAGTGACAAAGGTTGCCTTTGAATAGAAGGCTCTGTTCATTTACAGGAACACTTTACAGAATCTAACAAAAGACTCATTAATGTACCATTTTGCTATAGTGAAATAATGAAAGACAGCAGAATAAATAATGTCAAATATCAGGGCAATGTTGACAAAAATGTAACACTGATTGTTTATACTACTGTTAATCACTACCAGCCCTTTTTGGATGTGACCTTCTAGGGAGGATTCAGGTTCCAGGTACATCACTAACTGTAACAAGGATTCAGGTGGGAAGAAGGAACCAATCACAGAAGCTCATCAGAGGTCATTTGATGTAACAGAGCCAGGAAGACGATGATGAAGGGATTCAACAACAAATGGATGCAGTACTCTGTTGACTGTTCAACACACCGACTGACCATCACAGGCTTTTAAATATTGATATATATCTCTGTCTGTGTCAAGAAAAATGAAGGTTTACATTTTTCTGACATCCCCTGAAGGCATCATTTAAATTTAGGTTTCCAAAATATAATGTACAATGTAAGGTTATAGTCTGTGTAAACAAAGATTATTTTACTGGGAGCAAAATTCAAGCCTACATGGCCGCATCCTATCATCAACACATACATGTCATCAGCTCATCAGAGAAGGAGAAAGGAGGATGGTGGGGGAGGGAGAGAAGAGGGGGAGAGGATGGAGGAGGAAGCCATGGTTAGGCAAGGATGGAAGGGAGATGATGCAGAGAGGCAGATGAGTTGGGGAAGGTGGGCTTCATGTAGGTGTGGATGGTGATGGAGAAGGAGGAGGAGGAGGGGGAGTAGAAATCACCTGCAGTCCCTGATGTGAAGACAGATTCTTCTCAGATTCACCGTCAGATCCTTCCCTCCAGCAGCAGCAGCAGCAGCAGCAGCAGCAGCAGCAGTCACATTGATCCCAGGGTAAAATGGAGGGTGTGAAATAAAAACAAACAGATCAGGAGATAAAGACGACAGCGTGCTCAGATGTTGGATCTATGTCCCTGCCCTCACCCGTTATCCCACAGCCTCCCGTGTCCGTCCTACCACCACAGACCCTTGTTTTCAATCAATAGGCATCCAGCCCAGCTCTCACTGCGCATGAGTACTGACAGGCCTCTGACGACATTACCTCACCCCTCCTCTCCCCTCTGCTTCTCCGTATTCTTTCTTCCACCACCATGGTCTCCCACTCTCTTTGTCCCTGCCTCCTCCCTCCCTCCTGCACTGCACACATTAATCCCTCAATATTCATGAGGAGATGAAGGAGGAGGAGGAGGATTAGGGAAAGGGAGGCACTTGTATTCTCCTATATAGAATCAATGGCTCCACCCCCAGCATCCAGGCTGTCTGCTCCGTCAGTTTAACATAGGCCTATAGAAAATAAAATACAATAAAATAAAATCCCAGGTTAAATACATTGTTAAATAAACCAGTTTTTTTTCTTAGTCTTATTGTTGGATAATCTTTACTTATCAGACCAGAAATAAGAAATGTATATATTGAAAACTGAAGATGGGGAAGAAATCAACTGTACCATTAAATTTAAAAAGTCTTAAAAAGTAAAACAAAATACATTAATTTAGCTGAAGCTAAAACTGAGTAGGAAAACAAAAATGTAAACTATTAGGTATGCTTTATCAAAGATGACTAAACAAATGTTTCAGACCAGCTCTCCATAACTTCTTAAGTTAAGTATAATTTCCTCAATTCTGTAAGTTTTATTACGATAGGTGTTCCAGAAAACATCAGTCTTTAACTGGGGACATTTTGGCCATTTGTATAATATTTACTTTTTACAAATGGTCTATGGTTATTAATCATAGCAGAAAGTAGCAAATAGTAAATAGTAGACATTATAAACACTTAATCTGCTTTGACTGATCCAGTGTTCTTCACATGCAACATGGACAAAAATGCTGAAACTTGAGACATTGAGATTTTCACTTACATTACATAACTTCACCACTAGATGCTGCTAAATACCACACTGCCTTTATTTTGTTGTCTCCATCTCTGGCAGAATCTGCACTTTCTTTCCTATCATTTAGTGATTTTCTAATCACCTGACACGGTGGATCATATTTTTCTATATACAACATAAACCAATGAGTGAATCTGGTTATATTAATTATTATCATTTATCATCCTGGATGTGTTATCTGTTCAACATCAGTTTTTTACAGAACATCCTGTTCAGCCTCAGAGACTTACACTGTAAAAAGGCTTTCCTCACACACACACACAAAGAAAAAAAAGAAAGAATGCAGCAGATCTGTCCCAGTCCGAGGGCTCTGCCTTTGCTACAGCAACATCCCTCACACAGCCAGCCCTGCATAAATACTGGTTGCCATGGTTATGCTGTAATTGGGTTGGCCAGGGAAGTAACAGTGTGGAATAAGAAGTAGATAAGTCTCACCTTGCAGCCGGCTGTCAACACACAGCCAACAACAACACGTAGTGGCTTTGGAGCGAAGTGGAGTCGTGTAAGAAAATGTGATAAAGCTTCTGCTGTAAAACAAATTATTTAGTTGAAGGGCGTACAGAAATCACAATTATATATATATATAAGGTTTATGGTTGTGTGTGTACACACTTGGCACAGACACCCAGGGACTAGTTTTAGACTAGTTTTCTTTTATCCACAGTATTCCCGAAATGCACTTAAATACATTATTGTAAGAAAATATATGTATATGTTTTCATATTCAAAATATTGTCGAAATACAAGTTAGATGTTTCCACTAAGGTGACTGAATACTTAAAAGCCACTACTGCAAACCTGACTGTCATAATTTGAACAATAATTTTCTTTCTTATTCTGACATCTTGTGGTGATTTCAGGTACTTCACGTCAAAAAAAGCCATGACAAAATGATTTACTTTTTCACCCAAACTAAATTTCTGATTTTAAGTGACTTTATACAGATACTAGAGTAATAAGTCAATATTAGGCACCAGGTTAGAATGATATGACAACACAGATGGAATTTAAAAGCTTTAAAAATCTATCTTTCTAATAATGATAATCTTATTTAAACAATTAAGAAAAAAACAATCTTCGTAATTAAGTACCAACTTAATTTATATATTCTTAAATGTACAATATTAAATTACTGTATTTTAGTTTGGTCAATAAATATGATCATATTTTGGGTAAGTGTGTTTTGGAATTTGCGCTGTTCACAGCATTACCTTTAATGAAATACCAGTAACATCACAGAGTTGTTCAGAGAGACAGCTGTAAGGAATATATGTGTGATCAAGACTACATTTTTTGTTTTTATTTACTGTCCTTTTCAAAAACTGTGGAGAATGTGAAGCAGACACATTTCAAAATAAAGATACCAACGTCCATCATCTTCTCACAGGGTTGTCAATCCTGAAGCCTCCTCCAGTGAAGTGAGATTTGCTGCTCAGCTGTGGCAGAGACTCCAGCTGCTCCACTTTGGACCGAGTCATCTGCTCACTGTGGAGTAACACAGAGTCACCACCAGAACTGATGCAAGGACATGACAAAGAAAGAAGCTGAGAGTGGTTGAATGTCACCTGTGGAGCTTCTTCTGACTGAGGTACTTCTTCTTGATGTTTGCGAGCTCATTGGCCAATCTCTGGTTCTCACTTTTGTACTCGTTCATTTTTGAGTCCAACATCCTCAGCTCTGCAATCAATACCTGTGGATAAAAAAACAGCATACCTGTAAAAGTATTGATCAGTCTAACAGTTCAAACTCCTGAGCTCAGGACCACTGGACTTAGAAAATAAAACATTTCATTTATCTATTTATTTTCTAAATTTACATGAATTTGCACAGTATTTTACTTAAAACCAATCTTTTATGTCCATGTCAATTTATTTTAACTCAATAAAGTAAATATACTGTATATAATTATAATAATAGTTGTGATTGTTATTTTGGACATTCAAAAAGGCTGATGACTGCTAGTAGACACCTTGAGCTTCTTAGTCCTCTCTCTGAGAGCCCACTGACACTGTTGGAGCTGCTCAGCGGCCTCTGGACCAGGCTGCCGGGCCAGAATGTGTTTCAGCTCCACGTACAGCTTCTCCTTTTCCTGGGAAAGACAACAATGTAGAAAAAAGTGAGAAAAAAATGTTATGAAAGCTAATACATAAGAGATAGATATATAAGAATTTGTTATGAAATATTGTCACACACTACAAACAACTTTTTTTTGATGATTTCTTATTGGTGTGGTTACCTGCAGTAGAAGTTCGTGTTCCTCAAGCTCCTGGGTCTTAGCTATAAGTCGTTTCTGTAGAGACTGAATCTTCTGGATGAGTCCGTATTTGTCAGGATCATTGCCCTGTAAGAGAGTCTCTGTGAGATTTCCATGGACTAAGGTTTACTTGGTCAGTACGAGCTGTGACTCTTCTCAGGGTGTAGATAAAACTAAAATCTAAAATTTTTCGAAATGCACCACAGAGCAGTGACTGACTGTACCAGCATCTAAGAACTAACTGTGCTTCCTACCTTAAGAAAGAACTGGCAGCTGTTATTCAACAGTCATGTCTTTCCTCAGGTTTGGAGGCTTCATTCATTCATTTATTCATTCATTCATTCATGTTTTCACTTCATGTTAGCTGCTACTACATTGTTCCACACAGGCTAGTGATTATGAATTAAAACAACTACACACAGACGAGCACCTCACCTCCAGTCGCCTCCATCGGTGGATATTAATGGGCTTCAGCTGTTCCTCCAACACACTGTTTCTCATCCGTTCTCTGAGCAGCTCCCTCTGCAGGTGGAACATTTCCCGTCTGCAAAACAAAGACTCCACAGTGTTTGTGCTCAGCACTTATAAACTATGAACATCAGCACAGCAGCCAATAAGAAGGATTTTATAATAGGTGATAAATGTGATTAATGTATAGCTGGATGTTCAATAAAGCTAGAAAGAGTTTTTTTTTTTTTTAAACCTTCCTTTTTGTTCATCGTGTATCATCCTAAGTGATTATTATCTCAGGATTAAAAAAATAAATACGATTTAAATAAAACTATTCTCTGCCTTTGTCCTGGCATCACCCTTATTTTTTTAAACTTTTTAAGAACGGTGCGACTCTTCTTTACCTCAGGTCCTCAGTGTTTGGCGCGGCCTTGTCCAGGATGGTTTTCTTGCGCTGGAGCCTCTTGACTTCCAGCTTAAGAAGACGAACGTCTTCCATCCTCTGACTGTAGTGGAAGTCGCCCTTGCTGAGGATCGACTGCTGAATCCTGATCTTCTCAAACAGAAGCGAGCGCTCATCGTTGCGCCGTAGCAGCTGTTTTCCCAAACTGTCCCGCTCTCTGGCCACCTTGACAAAGATCCCAACAACAGACCACCAGTTGGACACCAGTCAGGGTTATCAAACATCTGATTGTCATTAATTGCAGTAATTTATCTTGATTACAGATCATTAATTAGAATATCATCAACATTATCAATATTTTCATCATTTCTTCTGTATGTTGCTGGAACAGAAAGACAAATGACTGCAGTAGATGTGTGTGTTTGACACATGAAATGAAATTATTCACATATGTTTACTGTATATATTATCTATAAACTTTGTTTTTTACCTGGTCTAGTTGTTTCTTCTGCTGCATCTGCTCAGCGTCAGCATCAGCGATGATCTTCTGTAGTTTCTGCTGCTCTGCCTTTTGACTTTCGACACGCTGCTTGGATTCCTCCAGCTGCTGTTTGACCAACTGAAGCTCTGCCTGAGACACAGAGACGGCTGTCAGTGATGTGTTAGCGACATACAGGGAGAACATCAATCTTTAATCGTGTTATGGTGTGATCTGAATGGAGAACAAAGGCTCTTCTGCTTCAGAGAAAGGTCACTGTTAGCAAGTTAATATTTGATTAGAGGAGGTGTTTATTCACTACTACTATTCTGACAAAATTCCTCAAACAGTTACAACATTTGAAAATGTAAACAATCATGAAGCTGCCTATAGTACCTTCAGGGACTCGTTATCTTTCTCCAGGCGCTTGAATTCCGCCTGATTTTTGCCTATAGCCATCCCCTTCCCTGTGATCTCG